ACACACACACACACACACACACACACACACACACACACACACACACACTCACCACCACCCTCCTTTTGGACCAGAAATGTCTTTGTGTGGTGCCATGGTGATGGCTTGTGTGTTTGTGGAAGCTGATGTCATTGCGGGCTCGCTTCTCTAAAGAGAAACCAGCATCTGACCGGAGAATCAGGAAATGAGACCGACTGTGTACACATGCTGACACTGTGTGTATTGTTCACACGCTTATTTGCACACACAAAAACACTAGAGATCCCTAAACATCCTTGRAAAAAAAAGTTTGACATTTTGAAAAATAGGCTCGTTTTTTGGCACATAAAAGGATAGCAGTCTTGTTCCTGTATTTATGAGTGCATTTTAGTCTCTCATTAATCATCACCTCACCACAGAAACCTCTGTGTAAATGCAAAAATGTGTGTGAATTCAGGATGCAAATACAGGAAGTTAGCAGGATAAAGAGGCAAAAAGGATGTCAATAAATTTTCTTTATTGACAAAACAAAAGGCATCAGAGGCATAAAAATTKAAATTAAAACAGAAAATGTGAAGAAAAGCAGAGCAAAGACTTGTCTTGATGTTGGAAACCCAACTTAGATATCCACATTATTTTTCTAGTTTTTTAGTTTAAGTTAAATGGGACGTCATGCAAAAACCACTTAGCCAATATATGCATTTTGTTGTGTACTTGGAGTGAGTGCAGGAAATTAGAATTTTGTCTCCCCGGTGCTGTGTAGATATTTTTATATTTTGTTTGGGTCATATTTTTCAACACGTTCAGTCTTCTCTGTTTTTATGATGTTTTCTGAACTGTTACATCTTAGTATTTGCGAGGAACTGCCAAATAAGATCTGGACTTACCAACTAGTCATCGTCTTCATTCCCCTCTGGCTCCGAGTCAGACTTTGGCTCCAACATGTAAGGCTGGATGGACAAGTCTTATGTTGTTGACATCTTTTATTTAATTTGTATATCAAAAGTTACTTCACCCCTATATATCCATAAATCCCTCTATCAAACTAGAATAGACCGCTCTGAAAGATGTAGGGAGGGTGGGGTGTGAAGCAACTCATTTGGATTTAAAGGGATCCACGATTAGTTGTAACATTAAACTTTATTTGATAAACATTTATTTTAACTGTAAAATAAAGACTGTAAAAAATACTGTAGGATGTTTAGTTTGTAATTT